CATGATTTTTTTTCTCCAGCCATCTTATCTGCCTCTAATTTGACAGTTGTTTTTATTGAGTCCAAAGCATTCCACCTAATTTTTGTACTAACACCTTTTGCATTATGTGTTTGTGTTTCATTGGTTTATGTAATATTTTATTAAATTATGTAATGGCAGTACTTTGTACATCTCGTATAAATAGGTTGGAGAACATGATTGACCCTTGTTAGTTATGCACACAAACCTGGGAGAAGAGTGCAACAGTGTGAGTGTCCTAAAAAGTGTAGTCTACCATCTCCAAGAATTCAGCTTGTGGTGGGCATGGTTCAGTGTATTTTACTATGGGGATGGACAGCATCACTTAGTCCAGTAAGTTGCTTAAATAGAAATCAGTTAAGAAAGCTTCTACTATACTTTGATGAGGTATTTCATGTGTAGCTGACAATTATACTATAGAAACAATTCCTACCCTTTGACTGCTTAGTCAGGAAGATAATGTTTAATAAACGTATACAGTAATAGAGTAAAAGGTACTGTATCCTGTAGAGTGAATTCTTGAAAAATGTGGACAAGTGGGAGGACCAATAGAGTAAATCAGGAATAGATTCCTAGAGGATATAGAGACCTTGAATTGAAAAAAACAGAAAAATAGGGAATTCCCTGGAGGTCCAGTGGTTAGGACTTAATGCTTTCACTGCCGAGGGCACGGGTTCAATCCCTGGTCGGGGAACTAAGATCCAACAAGCCGTGGCCAAAAAAGAAAGAAAAAGAAAGAACAGGGCTTCCCTGGTGGCACAGGGGTTGAGAGTCCGCCTGCCGATGCAGGGAGCGCGGGTTCGTGACCCGGTCCGGGAAGATCCCACATGCCACGGAGCAGCTGGGCCCGTGAGCCATGGCCGCTGAGCCTGCGCGTCCGGAGCCTGTGCTCCGCAACGGGAGAGGCCACAACAGTGAGAGGCCCGCGTACCACAAAAAAAAAAAAAAAAAAATAGTTTGGATAGAAGGAAACTGTTTACCTAATTCTGATGAACCTATGGGGAGAATATTGAACCTTTGTTTAAATCTCTTTGTTTAGGAGAAGGTAAAGGAGATTTTAAGACTGGTAACTTCCCATTAGCAACATGATAGGATGGCTGTAGGGACAGCATAAAATATTGTAGGCAGGTATTTTCCTGGACTGGATTCCAGAAAGGCAGTAACAAATTGGAGGCCTGATACATATTGTCTAACTGTAGCAACAAGGGACAAAAGATGGAAGGTGTAAATGACTATCACTGAGAATCCACTTGTTTAAAATCTCTGGATTTAAAGAAGGAAAGTAATATAATAGTGGAAAATAGGTCACCAGAGCTAAAGGGGGCAATCAGTAATGAATCAGAATTTTCTTTTTAAGAAAACTCTTGTCAGCCTTTAAAAAAACTTCAAATCTTTTGACTCAGTTGTTTAATTTCTGGGAATCCTAAATAATATTAACAATAGGGAGACACAAGAGGGAAGACATATGGGAACCTATGTTTATGTATGACTGATTCACTTTGTTATAAAGCAGAAACTAACACACCATTGTAAAGCAATTATACCCCAATAAAGATGTTAAAAAAATATTAACAATAAATTTGGAAAAAGCTCTGTGTACAAAATTTACTCCAAAAATTTGGAAATGAACAAGTTTTCATCTTGTAAGAATCATTAACTATGTAAAGTACTTAGCCTAGTGTCAGGTGCATAGTAAGTGTTTAATAAATGTTACTTATTAAGTTTGGTTTCTAAAGAAGAAAAGAGCAAAGTCAACTGATACTAGGTTAGAGTACCAGTGTTAATTGAAATTAAAAGAGCATCTTTATACTAAACTCCCTTCTCTCAACCTTGACTTTTTCAAAACCTGGTGGTATCATTCTAGAATATTTTTCTGACAAAGGGCTTTTAGTAATTAGGGGGCTCCTCGAGGTGTCAGTTGTGGATAAGTAAAATCTAAAAATGGGCAATTTAATATTGCCATATAGGCTCCCAAAATCAAGCCTAATAAATTATTTAATAAATAATTATTGTTGGGTATAGGTAGTATATGTATATGGCACAAAATTCAAAAGATATACAAAGATGTAGATTGGCCGTTACCAGTTTGTTTCCTTCTAGAAGTATGCCATGTATATGCAAGTGTGTGAGAATATAAGTACTTGTTTTTACACAAATGGTAGCATACTTTACACATTGTTCTGCAATTTGCCTTTTGCATTTTTTGGGGGTGGGCAGCTCTTTCCATGACAGTGATATAGCATCACCTTATTCTTTTTAATGGGTGCATATGTATGGGTATACCCTAATTTAACAAGTCTTATTGACAGACACTGTGGTTGTTTCTAGTCGTTTGCTAGTACAGACTGATGCAGTGACTATCCAACATGCTATTTCAGAAGATGTGTTATTAATGTTGGGCTCTGGGTGCCTTATTTGTTGAAGTCTGTGCTTCATAAGGACTCTCTGTTAATGAAGATTTCCTCCTTGCCTTTAACTTGGATGATGTTTATGGAGCGTCAAACCCAAATCCCTGGTGGATATAATGGAAATTTTTTTTTTTTTTTTTTGGCCGCACCACGCGGCACGTGGGATCTTAGTTCCCTCACTAGGGATTGAACCCACGCCCCCTTCAGTGGAAGCACGGAGTCTTAACCATTGGACCACCGGTGAAGTCCCTGGAAATTGTTAATAATAACATGGGAATTGTACAGTATTGCCAAACAGGCTTCTTCTAGGATATGAAGTATTTTGCATTATATGGATCTTCCTTAATTTAGGGGATGTGGGTGAGTAGTTTCAACATTTCTTTCAAGAGCACATCCTTGAATAAGGTAGCCAGAATAAAATGGACAGGAGGAGTAATGATGGGATATGTTAAGAGCATTCTAGAAATAGAAGATCCTCTAACCTTTCACTTTGCTTGGCATTGTGGTTTTGCTGAGTTTGATCAGTAAGAAAAATCCTTTGGGGAAAGAAGCCTCCAACTGAGCATTTTAATAGGGAGGAAGCTTAATTTTAGATTACATTACTAGTTTGGAATGAGACCTAGGATTGTTGCTAGGAGCAGAGGATAATGATAAAACATTTATAAAGAACAGCTTATAAATTGTTTTCATGATACTTAATGATTCTCACAGCAAGCCTGTGAGTTACATATGACTGCTGTTTGCATTTGACAGATGAGAAAACAGCATTGAAAAGGTTAAATTGCTAGATATCCATAATCACACAGCTGATGAGTGACATAGCAATCAACATTCTTACACTGTATCAACCATATCAACTATTTCCTTTTCTTGAAATTTACAATGAAAAGTTTACCATTTCATCAGGTATCACTGAGTTTTGCTTCTTCAGGAAGAGTACCAGGGAATCAGCTCCAGCCCTTCTTTTTCTGTTATCCCTAAATTGACTACTTGGCATGTCCTTTTTTTTTTCCCTGTGTAATAGCTTAATATTTGGGCAGGTTAGTGGTGAAGTGAGAGGGTTAAAAATTGAGTAAAGAACTATACAGAGTGGAGATTTTTTTTTTCCAGCTTAAAACCAGTGTATAAAAAGGTGTGAAAGTCAGAAGTGTTCCAGTAATTGACCAGGACTGGGATCTCATGCAAGATCCTTGAGCCTTAAAATTGAAAAGGTGAGAGGAGGGGTAGAAACTATATAGTACCTGAAAAAAAAAATCTATTATATGACACTAGGAAAACTTGAAAATTAAGCAGTCAGTCGTTTGTTTTGGACTCTACCGGGGATCTGTTTAGTGTGAAATTCAGATATAACAATTTTTATGATTTTAACTCCAAGTCTTTCATTGAAGGTATGCAACTTTCTCTTACTCTCTTCCCAGTTTTGGAATGGTCTACTCCATGACATTTCCTTGGAGGTCCAAGATATTCTACTTTGCTGTGATTCTTGTATAATTTTAACGTAATTCTTTGTTCCTGACACGTGGGATTTAAAAGATAATGGAGGGTTGGAAATAATGTTTGTTGTATGACTACTCTATCAGGCTCTTTACATTTATTAACTCATAATCCTAGGGACACACCTTGAGTATTGTTATACCCATTTTATAGATGAGAATAACTGAGGCTAGCTATATCACACTGTAGTCTAGTTACGGAGTTAAGACATGCAATTACATAAATATAACTGTTTACAGTGTAAGAGCCATGATTAGACGGTAAGAGTGGCCCGGTGAAGCAAAAAGTAGCATTTGCAGGACCACAGGCACACTACCACATGCCTGCTTCTACAAATGAACTTCCCATCGTGGCCACAGACTTGCGTGCCTAGTAGTGAAACCTTGGGGGCGAGAATCCATTAAGGATTCCTGTGTGTGGCGGGGAAGACAGGGGACTTTCCACGTGGAAAGCCGCACCGTCTTGCCCTGGGTGCTCTGCGTTTAAGGAAGTTGGTTGGGGGAGGGGGCTTGCCCTGCGGCTGCGTCCTACTCCCCGCGCCCTCCCCCTCCCAGCCTCTGCTGCCGCTAAACCCCGGAGAGCGGACCGCGCACGTCGAGATTCCTCGGCGGGCCTGGCAGAGGCTGCTGGGCATGCTCAGTGGGCAGGACCCGTTAGAGTGGCGAGTAAGGAAGCGTTGGCTCTTCTCCGGGTCTGCCTTCCCCGGTTCAGGCCCCGGCCCTGGGCTTTTGTGTGCGCGGAGCAGCAGCCGCCGCTGGCTCCCCGCGGGGCCGCCCGACCCCAGATGCCGTGTGGCCTGTCCGGTGTCCGCCGTTAACCTCGCCGCGCGGCCGGAGGAGGAGCGGGGCGGGGCGGGGCCGGCCGGCCGGCAGCCGGGCGGGCAGGAGGGCCCCGCCGGGGGTGGGGGTGGGTGCGGGGAGTCCCGCGGGGGGTGGGGGGAGGGGGCGGGCGCGGAGTCACGGGGGTGGGGTCACCGGCGGTGGCTCCGGGAGGCCGACCGGTAGGGGAGGGGGCCGTGGGGGTGGCTCGGCGGAACCAGCCCCGGCTGGGGAGCAGCGGCGACTTTGGGGGCCGGGGCCAGGCTTTCCGGGCTTCGGTGAGGCCGCCGCGGGCCCCGTCTTCCGGCGGCCGCCCGAGTTTGAGGTGATTGTTGCCGCCGCCGCCGCCGCCACCGCCCCGGCTGCCATCTCCTCCTCCTCCCGGGCCGCCGCCTCCTCCTCTTCCTCCTCCTCCTGGGCCGGGCTGATCCCCTCCCCGCTGCCGCCTCCTCCTGGGCTGGGCCCGCGGTGTCTCGTCCCCTCGCGGAGCCGCTCCTGCCGCCGCCGCCGCCGCCTCCTCATTCATCCTCGTGCACCATAGGCGGCACAGGCACCAAGATGTCCAACCGAGTGGTCTGCCGGGAAGCCAGTCACGCCGGGAGCTGGTACACAGCCTCAGGTAGGGCCCCAGGCCGGCCGGCCCTTCCGCCGCCGCTGCCTGGCCCCGCGCCCGGCCGGCCGAGGTCGGCGGCCCGGCCCCGCGCGGCGGCGGGAGAGACGAGGGCGCTGACGGCCGCCGGCCGCGGACCGCGTGGGGAGGGAGCGGGCCGGAGGCTGGCCTCGCCGCCTTCCCACCCGGGCGGCATCCCGCCGGTCAGCCCGGGGTCGGCCTCCCTCACGCTCTGCCGGGAGTTGGGCGAGAGGGAGAGTTGCCGCCTCGGCAGCCTGCGCCCTCCCTCAGGACCAGGCTCGAGGAAAGAATGTGCTCCCCGACCGAGCCTACTTGTCGCCTCCTCCGGCTCCCGGGAAGCGGGCGGCCGGCCGCAGCCACCCCCCGGGGGGACGGTTAGCCCTGCGCCCTAGCCCCGCTTCTTCCGTGCGGAGCCGAACGACCCTCCGCCCTCCAGCCGCGGGAGGGAAGCGCCTTCCTCCTTTCCCCTCCCCTCCCGTCTCCTCCCGTCCCTTCCCCTCCCATCTCCTCTCTTAGCCTCTCCTCCCCACGACGCTCCGAGCGGCGCCCGCGACCCGGGGACTTCTTAGTCTCCCGGGGTGCACACGGGCTCTGCTCGCCCGCCTCCTGCCAGGCAGTCTTCTCCCGCTCCCCTTGGCAGTTCAGAACGAGAGGCCGCATTTCCCCCTCACCTTTCAGGTGCTCAGCCGTCTTGAGAGGAGTGAAGGGTAGTACTTTTTGACATTGCCAGACCAGAGGCAGGGTCTGGGCATGTTAGGTCTGTGAGGGGACGCCCCTTTCTAGGGTTTGCTGCTCTGTCTGTTGGGGGTAGGGTAGAAGTATTGCTAAGCAGAGGCTTGGGGTGGCCTCCTAGCTCTTTTGTCAGTGTTTTCATTGTTACTGTCATTCACGAAAGGGGCAGCTGGAGATGGCATCAGCACTTTTTCCTGAGCAGCCTCCCCAGTCTCCAGTCGCTTAACACCAAGCAGGTGCTGGAACTACTTAACGCGTTGGGTCAGGTTTTGAGCGAGTTTAGTCTTCTATCGACACTGTCCAAAAATACTTTACAGCTCTTTAGGTGAGAGAGTGTAGGGACTTTCGCTTTAATAAAGCTCTTGTTAGAACGACTGTTTTCTGGGATTATTTTCAGGAGTTACATTTCTGATAAGTTGACAAAATTCCACTGTGATTCCTGAATTTTCAGTCATTTGGTATTGGCTTATCAATACCTAGACCCAAATCTTTAGTGTGGGTCGGATCATGTTTCCCTTTGCAAATAGTTGGGTTGGATAGAGACATGGTTTGTGAGAAAACAAAGATTTGGAAGAAAATTCATTTCTCTGAGGTTGCTAAGCTCGCTCATTAAATACATGCTCTTTACTGACTCACTGAAGATTTGCTGTGTTAAGAATACATAAAGGATTTGCAAGCCTAACAGGTAGCTATAGTTTTGCATTAAGCAGATGACTTTTAATGGTTATAGTGGCTTCCCTCATGGTTCCAAAGTGCTTCATAAACATTTCATCAGTTCTCACAACCTTAGCATGTCAGTTAAGCCTTTCTTGTTCAGCTTATGGGGATATGCCCAAGATTCTGTACAAACCAGTGGCAAAACAGGAATGGGAGTCCCTGGCTCCTGGTTTTGTCTTCCAATCAATGCATTATTACTATTAAAGTTATCAATGAATAATAGTCTTTTCAGGGTTGTGAGTCACTAAACTTTTTCTTCAATGTGTTTTGAAGAGATAAAAAGTCACAGTTTTCATTTTCATGGCCACTTTTTGGATAATTTATTTTGTTTTCTATACCTTTCAAAAGTGTTTTAAACTTTTGCACTGAAAATGTGGCCAGATGATTCTGCAGGAATTTTTATAGATTCTTGAACATTCTTTGCATAGTAAAATTAGGCATAGTTCACACTTCAGACTTGAAAAGACTTCTTCAGTAATCTCAAATATAAGAATCCTTTAATCCAGCTGAAAACATTCTGTGATTAAAACTATCAGTAGTGAACTAAAATGGACAACTTTCTTAAAATTTTAAAATATATTCTTATTTCCCTAAATTCTGAATGAAATCAGTAATGCAATTTTGGAATGTGAATTGTCATGGAGAACCTTATTGTTAAAAAAAAAAAAAATTCAGACCATGTGTGGTGTGTGTGTGTGTGTGTGTGTGTGAGAGAGAGAGAGAGACTTTTAAACTTGAGTAATAATTAGGGTGAATTTAAAGCAATTTAGGGGAATTCTCTGGCGGTCCAGTGGTTAGGACTCTGTGCTTTCACTGCTGAGGGCGTGGGTTCAAATCCCTGCTCAGGGAAATGAGATCTCGCAAGCCATGCATCGCTGCCAAATTTAAAAGAAAAAAAAAAGGCAATTTAGTTATAAAAGCTGATTTCATATTTTAAAAATGAATAAAAATATACGTAAGTAAATTTTGACTTGATCTAGTGACTTCTAGACCCCATTGTATCTAGATTGATAACATTGACCATTGGAAAAATTTTACTTGTATTATTATTGTTCCCTTAAACTAGGCCTAAAAACATGTAGTAGGAGAGAGACAGATGTGCTTTTGGATTGTCATTCTGTAATTCTGCAGCATTCAGATTGTGTCCATAGAATTAAAGTGCTCAATTACTGATAAAATGGTGAGATAACATTTGCTTCAGTTATATAGCTAGTTCAGAAAAAAAAAAGTGTGTATACATATATGTGTTATATATCTACATACACACCTTCGTTTTTATTTACCCCTTGTTATATGCTAGATCCTTTGATAAAAGTATCAAGTATTCCCTGCCCTCCAAGAAGATATTGGAGGATAAATTCACCCTAATTATTACTCAAGTTTAAAAGTCTCTCTCTGAAGTGTAGTAACTCAAGACAAAAAATAAATATCAGATAAATTGAGGCAGTGCTTTTAGGAGTTTGGACGAGGGTGGAATCACTTCAAAGGATTTGAATTATGCTTTGAAGGAAGGGTATTTGAGTAGATTTGAAAAGGGAGAAAGTACATTGGGGAACACCACAAAGATACAGAGGCAGGTAAGCGAAAGTAGGCCAATTTAATAAGAATGGAAGGTTCTCACGGGGTGTAGTTCACGAGCCTGGTTGGAGCTAGAGTGTAGATGCCTGTGAATGCTATGCATCATAGGGATTTAACTTATGCAGTAGGTAATCAGGACCAGTGCAGAAGTTTCTGAGTAGGGGACTGATATGCAAGTAGCATTTTAGGAAAATTAATCTCATAGGAAGGTTAATCCTTGCTTCTTTATGGGTATACAGCAGGGATCAGCAAACTCACTATGTCTGCAGTCCAAATCCAGCCTGTGGCCTTTTTTTTTTTTTTTTTTTGTGGTAAAGTCCACTAACAGAATGGTTTTTAATTTTTTTAAAAATTTATTTATTTAATTTATTTTATTTTTGGCTGCGTTGGGTCTTCGCTGCTGCGAGTGGGCTTTCCCTAGTTGCGGCGAGCGGGCCTCTCATTGCAGTGGCTTCTCTTGTTGCGGAGCACAGCCTCTAGGCGTGTGGGCTTCAGTAGTTTTGGCACATGGACTTAGTTGCTCCATGGCACATGAGATCTTCCCAGACCAGGGCTTGAACCCGTGTCCCCTGCATTGGCAGGCGGATTCTTAACCACCACGCCACCAGGGAAGCCCGGTTTTTAATTGTTGAAGGGTTTAAAAAACAAACAAGAACCAAGAAGTGAAATAGAGTCTGTATGTGGCCTGTAAAGTCTAAAATATTTACTATTTATTTGGGCCTTTACAGAAAAAAATTGTCAACCCATAGTATATATTTGTGGTTCTCAAAATGTGGTCTCTAGATCAGCGGCATAATGTGTCTGTACTTTTTCCGGATTTGCTATATCTTTCATTTCATTATTTCAGCCCTTATGATCTTCTGTCTGGACAGTTATAACTGCCTCCTAACTGTCCTTCTTTCTGCCAACTTTATTCCCTTTAAGTCCATCCTCTGCATTGCTCCCTGAATAATCTATCTGACCACATAATTTCTTTGCATAAATCTCACTGACCCATCTTTCCTGTTGGATAAGGTCTAAGTCTCTTCATGACTTGGCATCTTCCTATCTCTTTGGCCACTTCCCCCAACCCCATCCCAGTTCTCCCTTTTACTACGCTTCAGCAACTGTCTAGCAGCTGTTCATTGTTTCTTTAAATACACTGTGCTGTTTCTTATCACTGTGTTTTTATTCAAGCTGTTTCCTGTGTTGGAATGCACTTTGCCAGGATAACTCCTTCTCATCTTTTAAGGACTCAGGTGTTAACACCTCCTAGAAGCCTACCCTGATGCCTTACCTACCCCTGGCTGTTCCTTTGTGTTCCCATAATATCCTGTGTGTATCTCTATATATTTACCTTGTTATCTGTGTATGTGGTCTTCTATAAGATTATGAACTCCTAGAAGACAGGGACTATGTCTTACTAATTTTTTTGTACCCCAAGTTCTCAGCAAGCACAGGTTTTGTACATAAATTTAATAAGTATCTGAACGAGTGAACATTAAAGGGCTTAGCATATAGTACATATGGACAGAGATATTGACATTTAAATCCCTAAGAACATGGCGGGTGATATAAGACCATTGCTAGTTAAGTCTCTGAGCGTAGTATAGGTGAAGAATCTTGGTGGTAGGAAAAGATTAGAAATCATGATTCACTAGTTGGGGACCTTATTTAATGTAAGATTTTTAAAGAAGTACGACATGCATATAGAAAAGTGTACAGCTAGATGAAGTTTCACAAAATAGGCGTGTCATTGTAACTAGCACCCAGCTCAATAAACATCAGTAGTGGAATTCCCAACTCACACTGTATTCCTTGTATTCTAACACCATAGAAAAGTTTTGCCTGTTTTTGAACTCTGTATAAGTGAAATCATATAGAATAACTTGTTTGAGCTTCTTTTGCTCAACATTACATTTATGAGATTAATCCATGTTATACTGTGGTTTGTTTATTCTTGTTGTTGTGTTCTATTCTGT